CAAATAAGTGTTTGCTGTCACTTCTCGGGTCCACAACGTGTTCCTACGGCGTCCGGCCAAAATGGCGGTGCCCAGCCGCGCCTCGCGCACGCCTCGGGGACGTAGGGCGCGCACGCGACGGCGAGCGCCGGGCGCGACGGAGAGGCGTGACGTCGTTGCGATGCGACGCCAATTCGACGTCACTGGGAAGCCGGGCTGCCCGGAGGAGCTCGGTGGGAGTGGTGTGGCTCTGCTGCAGGGCATCCTAGAAACCCGAGCTGCAGCGTACTTGGTCTGCAAGCTGTAAGTGCCTGAGCTTTTCCCGACGTGGAGAAGGGTTCTCCCGCAAGCACATGCGTTCTCTTCCCCAACCTCAGTCTTTTTGTTTTGTTTTCCGCGCCCAATTTCCAGGCCGGTGGGTCAGAAATGGAGCGTTAGCCGTGGCCCGTGTTAGCCCTTCCGTTCAGCACAGGCGTCAGCAGGACCCGAAGAGTCTGGTGCAGACGCTGGCGTTCCGCCTTGGGACTGGGCTCCTTCTGGACCGTATGGCCAGGAACCCAGTCTTACCTGAACTCCGTGTTTTATCCACTTGGTGGCGTCCAGTACCAAGTCCGCCAGTTGAATTCCTCTCTAGTAGAGAAATGGGCCTTTCTTTTCTTTTTACAAATTTGACAGTTTTGAACACAGCTTGTAATTCAGCTTGTGAAAAAAAAAATACTCGGGTCCTGGTATAATGTGGATATTCTTTTTTTTCAACGTTATTCAGCTTGTAATAATGGTCAGAGGTTTAATTGTCTCACCTTAGACCTTACTTAACTTGCACATGGCAAGTAATTGTATATTGAATATATATATGTGTATATATATATATACACACACATATATATGTCTCCATTTATTCATTCAGTAAATTGCTAATTGAGCATTTAAGTTTTAGGCCTCTACGAATTTTACAGTCCAGTGCTATTTAGTGAGTATCTAAGTGCTGGTGTGGGGATTAGGGAACAACTGAGATCAAATAGGAGGTATCAAGGAGATAGTATATGGAACTATTGATCCAGGTTTATAAGAGCATGTGTAACAATGTTCAGTAGCTGTAATTTCGAATTTCTGAGGCAGTTTTATATACTGTTCACTCTGCAAGAAGTTTTGTTTTCCCACGTTTGCATAGATGTAACAAGATTAGCAACAGATGTGAAAGATTAAGTAAACTTTTGATTTAGAATCGGCCAGTTACACAGACCTTGAAGCCGTTTTTCTGACTTTCTCTTCTATGGTAAGAGCACATACCGTCTAAATGGTGCTTTTGACAACTAGTGGGGAAATGTGATTTTTCTCTGCATCACTTAATGGACTATTTAAAATGGAGACCCATATTCACATATTTTGGAAATAAGAGTATTTCTATCTGAGTTTTCTAAGGGAAAAAAATGGCATTTGAATTAAGAAATGTTACTCATAGAGGACTAGCACTGTAGAAAGCCGTGGAATTATAGACCAAGTCCACCACTTTGACAGGAGAGGAAATGAAGTCCAGACCTGCCCAATGTCTAGGCTAGTTAAAGAAGGGGCTGAAGCTAAAACGGTAATTCTGTGCCCCTTTGCCTACTGTACTCTGCTGCTTGATGCATAAAATATTTTACAAGCTGAATTCCCAAGATTTTTAAAATAACAGTGGTTGATTTATGTTAACTGCATTTGAGAATAAGATGATTATTATCAAGGGTCTATTAGTGATCCACTTTGCTATTAAATGTTTATTTTTACCTTTTGAAAAAAAATCAGGTCCTGGTATAATGTGGATATTCTTTTTTTCTACATAGAATGTTTTAAAAATGACCACACCAAACAAGACACCGCCTGGTGCTGACCCTAAGCAGTTGGAAAGGACTGGCACAGTACGGGAAATTGGGTCACAAGCTGTTTGGTCACTCTCATCTTGCAAGCCAGGTAAAACAACACAAAAAAGCTGTTTGTAGTAACTACTCACTAGTACAGTTTTCTTGTATTCTGGACTGACTTTAACATTATTTTTGTTTATATACTTCATTTTAATTCTAAAATAATTTGAGTTTTCATCTGTTATATATCTCTTCACAATTGCTTTACTACTATCCACTTGAATTTAACTGCATATGTCATAAAGTCTCTTCTTTATCCTCCCCTATCTCTGCTGTGATTAAGTTATTTGGGATAAGTGGGTGATACATTTTTTGAGTGATTACATATCCCAAAGTAACTTTATTTTACTCTTGATTGAGATAGAAATCTTGAGTGTCAGTCTTTTTCTCTCAAAAATTTGTGGATACTGTTTTACCATTTTCTTTGTTGTTGTTGCAAATAAGATGGTGTATACCTGTCTCGCTCTCTCTTTTTTATATAACTTGTTTTTTGGAAGCATTTAAACCAAGCATGTCTAACTCAAAGGCTAACACGGGCCACGGCTAACCTAATGACTGATTACTATAAGCGTGTTGCATTCACTTCCCTGAGGTGCCTTACACGCAGGCGCACTATTTCTCTCCACTAATACTAGCAGCGAATATTTTAGCAGCCAATTGCCCTGTCATTAGTCTTGGACTGACTTGTTTGGTGTGAGCAACCGGAAATATTTCGCTTTTGGAGAACAAGAAAAATAGGTTTATTTGCATTACGCGTATTAATTGGTGCAGTTATTCAGTGTCTGATAAGTTAATGTTCACAAAAATATTAATTTTTATTAAAATGTTTCTTACATACCGCAAAAATATTCGTTGTGGGGCGCGAGTTTGACATGCTTGATCTAAACCATCCTGTTTATCAAACTTTCTGGACAGATATATATATGTACACATATATGTATAGTTATATATGTGTATACAGACACACACATATATATACACTAACTGGCCCAGATTATTATGACCACCTCACGTTTGTAGGCAAATTAGCTATAATTTCGCGCTGAGGTTGCTAGAGGGCCAGACCATTAAATATAGGGAAGCAGGTTGTTTACCATGACAGTAGAAGTTACTTTTTTCTGAAGAGATGGGTAAACAATACGATTTAACAGCCTTTGAACGTGGGATGATTGTTGGCGCTCAGAGCCATGGAGCGAGTATCAGCAAAACAGCCGAAGGCCTGTTCGAACAGCTTTGCTGTCTGCAGTTACCAAGATAAAACGTCTCCAATTCACACAGGAACACAAGGATTGGACAGTCGAGCATTGGAAAAAAGTCATGTGGTCCATGATGAATCACGTTTCCAGTTGCATCATGCAGGTGGCAGAGTGAGAATTTGGCAGAAACAGCATGAAAGCATGCACCCCACATGCAT